CCCCCCCCCCCCCGCCGCCCTGGAAGGAGCCGCGGCTGTCTCTCCCCAGGGGAGGGTGGCCGGCAACTGCGGCGCCAGCTGATACAAAGCGCCCGGGTAAGGTTCCCTCGCTCCGGCGGCAGCGTGGGAGCGGGGGCGGGGCGACCAGGCAGCCTGCCTCCCTCTCCCGCGCCCCCCCCCGCCGTGGGCGTTGGGAGAGAGAAGAGCCGGCGGCTGGTTTGCGGGCCAGGTTTGGGGATGGGGATGGGCGTGCTCCCCGCGGCCGCCCCAAGACATTTTGCTGCCGGAGGCAGAAGGGCGAATCAATCTCTCTCTCTCTCTCTCTCCCTCGCTCTCTCTCTCTCTCTCACACACACACAAAATCTCAGAATCGCCCATGCTAAAGCGATGGTGCTAGTCGGAAGGGCAGCTTTGACTTCGCCGGGGGGGGGGTCATACTAAAAGTTTCTGATCTTTCAGCTCTGCGGGGTGGCCTGATCGCCATTATCACCTGCGGAAATCCAGGTCTTTTGTCTACAGCAGCCCTCCTGCGCTCCCTCCTCTAACAGCAGGCAGGCAACAAAGATTGAAGATGCAGTCTTTACCCTTCCCTTTCTTCTATCCTGCTTATTCCCTCTCCCCCTTAACATGCACTGGACCAAGAGAAGATATCACCTTAGGCAGTTGTTTGTGGTTTTGCACACTTTTTGTGTCTCTTGGGTTGGACTAATGAAGAATAAGTCTTGGAAGTGGATTTGTGTCAACACAGCTTCCCCTGCTTTTGTTCCCAGCTAAGCAAGGCACAACCTCCTCTCTCCCCTTCCTGGTGTGGTTGTGTTAGTTGCCATGTAATCGATTCTGACTTATTGTGAGCTCAGTTAGGGATTTTGTGATACCCAGTGCGATGTAGTGATTAGAACAATATGGAGACCTGGGTTTGAGTCTCTTGCTTGGCCATGGAAATTCATGAGAAGCATTGATAAAACCACTCCTTATATAACTCAACTTATCTTGAAAGCCCTATTAGGACTGCCTAAGTCAGTTCTGACTTGGTGGTATGTAACACATACAGTAGAGTTTTCAAGGTATCCGAAATAGTTAAGGAGTGGTTTTACCAGTTGCTACCCTTCAGTGAGTTTCTATGGCTAAGCAGGAATTTGAACCCTGGTCTCCAGAGTTCTAGAATAACTCTATTCACTACTCTTCACTAGCTCTCCTATAAATAAAATAGTAATAAATTTGTGACTAACAATTTCAGGAGAGGCAGGCAACAGTTTTAATAAATAACAGGTGAGCTCTTGACTTTGAAAGAAGAAAGACTGTGTTTTCATTTAAGTATGAGAATTAGTGTAAACTTCCAAATAAAGCACTATTCATGTATGGCTCACCGAAACAAGATTACATACAGAGTAAGCAAGAGTCAGCCATGGGATAACCATAAACATGAATTTGCTTCTCAACAGGTACAGAGTGTTATCGTGTTATCAGAGTTCTGCAGCCAGGTAGAATGGGTGTACAGCCATTCTTGAATGTCAGTATCTCCTCACTTAATTTTGTATGAGTATGTAGCAAAAGCAAATAAGAAATGTGTATTTATATATAGCTATTCAGCCACAAAACAAATACAGAATAAAGCAGTGTGACTATGTAAGTGAGTTGTTGCTATACCAACAGTCAAGACTACTTTCTTCCGTGCTGTACACATCTATACTTTATTCCCCCCAAAAGAAATAATACAGTTAAATCAAGCAAAATATAAACATACAAAGAAAACTACAACATTCAATATTGTATCACTATTAAAACTATTTTTATCTATCTATCTGTCTGTCTGTCTGTCTGTCTGTCTGTCTGTCTGAATAGTTTTAATAGTGATACAAAGTCCATATAGCAAGGAGCTGCTTCCTAGAAAATCTGCATTGACATAAGAAACACTGGGCCTGGAAACCATTGTCTTTATTATTTTATAGACCTTTAGACTGCCCAATTAGTGCAAAGCACTAGTCTGGGTGGTTAGCAATCAGATAACATCAAAGCAAAATATAACAATACTGTAAATTGAACAGTAGCAATAGTCATGAATAATGCAAGAATAAAGGCAAGCAAACCAAAAACATCAATCCGTAATTGGACAGGCAAGGTAAGTAGGCAGATTCGTGTGAGGATGCTGTTAATAGCTTCTATAAAGAGCAACATCTTGAGCAATCTCTTGAAGGTCAACAGGGAGGGGGTCAGGCAGAAGTCAACTGGGAGCCCATTCCAAAGGGCTGGTGCCACAACCAAGAAGGCCTGACCTCTCCTAGATATTTTCCCTTTTTGTGGCAACCCAGAGGAACATGGCCTGAGAGGATATGGTGGCTGGAGATTAACTTTTTTTTTCATAGGTTACAATCCAGCAGCCTCACTTTCCATTTGTTCATAGATGACAATTCTTGAGATCTGAAAGAGAATAACTCTTGCTTTTGTTACACTTGCATAACTAGGCAAGAAGACTTGGACTGTTAACTCCCACTCACTTCCACTAGTACACACAAATGGCCAGAGATGATGGGAGGTTTAGTCCAACAATATGTAGTGAATCTTAGTTCTCAACCCTGCAGTATGAAGTATAGTAGTGCTACTATTGCCTGCTCTCTTCCAAATGCTTTCAGAGAACCTGCTTTTATTTGATTTTTATGTGCTTAGGTCAATAAAAGCTCTCAGGAAATCTAGCTGAGATGCTTCCTTGAATCAAATACATGTTTGCTGCCAAATAAACTTGTTTCAGCTGTGCCCAAGCTAACAATTCATTTTATAGAGGATTTAGAACAGTCATCTTTGCTTTCCCAAATCCTACCCTCTAGTCCTGCATAAATTGTACAGATTCCTGTCTCTTATGAGACCGGTTTTCCAGATAGATATTTCATTTGTTCTTTAACCTGTCCCTTTCTTTTTTCCCTGAATAGCTCTATATATTCAGTTCTGACTTAAACAAAACTCATTCTTGGAAAAATTATATGTGAGCCTCGTAGCTACCAAAACAGAACTGATATTTCAACCATGTGCAATCAGTTGTCCTGTTGTCCTTGCATACCAAATTTTCCATGGAAACATGATCAGAAAGGTTAGCATCTCAATCTGTTGAAGTCAACTGGTGGCAAGTAAACACAGAAGTTCAGTACAGGCACCAAAAATGCAAAATGTACAATTATGAGAGCAATACAGAAAAAGCAAGAGGCTGCTGAATGTTTATCTATGTTTATTTTCACCATGAAGTTGTGGATTGTCCTTCATTGAATCCATCATGAATACTTAGGGCAAATTTTATTCAGAGCAGTTGATCTAACATGAAATATTCATGCACTAGTTAGTTGGAAGTGTAAAATCTAAATAAAGTCAACTTCAGGTCTTTGTACTGGCTCTTTGTTATTCCTGTATCCTTTTGTTACATTATATGTGGAGGTATCTTATGGAGCAGAACACTGGTGCCTGTGGCCGACATTGTTTCCTCTGATTCATAGCCTCTCTGTTTTCTCCAGAAGCCTAAGCCTCCAGCTCCCATCATCTCAGCATGGTGTGAAGGGAACAAAATTGGAAGGAGGCAGTCCTAGATTGAGGCAGGGACAAGTCTAGGAAACATTCTGTCCTCAGGATACTGGTAGATTCTCACTCCCCGCAGCCTTAGCCAGCATAAATATTGGCCATGCTAACTTGAGATTATGAGAGTTACAAGTCCAACATGGTGAATAATTGGGGATGGGGGCAGTGTAATTTTAAAAAAAATCTGAAGGGTATTCGGGTGGGAAAGTCTATTCCAGACGACCTCTGCATGTATAGTATCTCTATGTACTAGATCATTACAATGGAGTATAAACAGCGTGTGATTTCACAGGCCCTCTTTTCTAACATAATTTTGCTACCACTTAGTGTTTGCTCTTCAGAACAGAAGAAAGATACTGTGCATATATCATCTGGCCTCCTTTCCTTCTTTCTTGGTCTTAGGGCCGAACTGTAGGAGACAGAGACTTTATAGTTAGGAGAGTTCACTAAGAGGTTAAAGAAATGTGCTTGTCTTCTCAAAAACTCCTCTTAGTTTTATGTGTTGCAAATTAGCTTCGTCCTCTTTTGATACTGGTCACCAGAAGGTCATCAAATTGGACATCAGAAGGCTTCAACTGTTAGTGGATTGTACAGACTCTTGAAGGCATAGGGATAATGTTTTGTCACCTTCTAATTGTAAAGGAGTTTGGGCCTCCCTTTCAGGGTTGATAATACAGCTCAACCTGATGCTGTGAATGGTGTGACAAATTCTTGGAATAATTTTGTGCAGCTATTGTTGCTCACTGTACGAACTGAACAAAGGTAGCAGTCTATATTCTGAATAACAGTAAGGCTAAAAGCATAAGTACCTTTATTTATGCTTACTTTAATTATGCAGTGAGTGAAGGTTACAGAACAATTTCCATGGAAGGAAAATACCCTCATGACCTGTCTCACATACAGCTATTGAATATCTAGAAATTCCTTGCAAAAGTATTATTACCTCTTTAATTAGCAAGGCAATAAGTGTAGATCACCTTCTTTCCTTTATTAAAAAATTCTTGAATCCACATGGATGTGATACTCTTTTATTCCTACTACAATTTGCAGCTCTTAGTGTGCTTCTGGCTATGCTTTAACCTGAATCACCTTTGAAGAAAAGTCACAATAGCCCTTCCAAGACGCTTGTCACAGGTGTGGGGGCAGGTATTTCTTTCTCTCCCCCTCAGTCCTTTTCATAGAATGGAAATTACTCACCAAAGCAGTTATTATCATAACTACACTGCCACACTTCACAGTATGGAAATATCGTGTACTCAAACCATATGATTTAGCAGCAGGCATTAACTTCTGTCCATGCCAGCTGAGGCATGCTGCCTTTTTTAACAATATGGCAGTGTATATTTACACAAGTATTTTTATTGCAGCCTCCTTGTTGTTCACAAATATTTTTTAGCCACAAGGAATGCAATGAT